TAGGGTCCACAGCAACCCGCTTTCAGGTCCCCTCCTGTCTCTCAGGAGCTATCTCTCCGAATAAATATTTCCTATTCCTTTTTTTTTTTTTTTGGCACCGGGGATTGAACTTGGGACCTTGCACTTTCGAGGCAGGCGGTGATATTTCCTACTCTTGACCACCATTGTTCCTTAGAATTCATTCCTTGATTTGGGGGAATGCTAACTTGGCATATTGACACCTAGAAGGTTGGGAGTTACATTTATTTCCCCTGTTTCATTGGGAGCTAGCCTGTGAGATGACCTTTGGTGATCCTTAGGAGACTGAGTCTCCACCAGCTGTTTAAACTAGGGTTACTTTGACCGCTGGAATACGGCACGTCTCATGCAGAAGACATGGGCACTGGTGGCAGCTTTCCACAGCGTTGTCTTAGACTGTATGTGCTGGGGAAGCCAGGCACTGTGGAAAGGTCCAGAAGAATGAAAGTCTCTACCAGAAGACAGCACCAACTTGCCAGCCATGTGAGTGCACTACCTTCATTGATCCAGTAGCCCCAGTCATCCATTCAGATTTCATCTCTGCCCAGCATCTTACCACAGTCTCATGAAGTTTCTAAAGGACAGCTCTGACCCCAGCACTGTGATGTGGGATCCTGTATGGTTTTTGCCCCAATCTTTAAGTTCAATCTTGTGTGTGTGATTCTATATATAGTTTAGAGAATAACTAAATTCCTGCAACAAAACCAGGAACATAGTAGACACTGAATAAATATCTGTTGAATGGACACAGAGCTAAAAAAGAACCACCAACTGAAAAGTGTTTAGAACAAAGACTGCTAGATAAAGGAGTAACACTGTAACATAACAAATTAATGTGTTGTGATGCCTACAGTACATGTATGGTACAGAATATAAACAGCTTACACGTAAAAAGGAGATACAAATGATTGGTACTTGAAAATTTCCATGATTTCAAGAATCAAAAAAAAAAATACAGAATTGACCCAGGCATGTTGGCACCTGCCTGTAATCCCAGTGCTCAGGAGGCTGAAGCAGGAGGTTCACCATGAGTTTCAGACCAGCCTGGGCTACATAGTTAAGATGCTGTCTCAAAAACCAAAACCAAATTGTAACAAGATTTTTTTAATTGTAACTACATTAGATTTTTTTTTTTGGTACCGGGGATCGAACTCGGGACCTTGCGCTTGTGAGGCAGGCGCCGGAACCACTGAGCTAAATCCCCGGCTAGGAGAATATTTTTAAATAGGAATATATTATATCAGTACTGTTAGCACTACTGAGAGAAATGTAAATTGACAAGTACTGTTTTGGAAATCAACTTGGCAATATTTTAAGTGCCATAAAAATATCCATATCCATTGTCCTAATTTCACTATTAGGAATAATTTTTGTCTTTTTTTGTTTGTTTTTTTGAGACAGGTTCTCACTATGTGATT